GGTCGGGCACGAATTCACTTGGGAATTCAGAGAGAAAGCGATCGAGTATATCTACCATGTGTTCGGGTCGAAGACTGAGAATGTGGCCGCGATTACGAGATGGCGCGACCTGTCATTACCCGGTTGGCACCGACGCGTCAGGCAATATTAAAAATCTGAATGTACAGATTAATTTATTTAAAAAAAATACACGGAGAGAGAAAAATCCGGACATAACGATAAAATAGGCGATCCGCGTTCTGGCCTTCCATTCTAGGTTGAATCGGAAGTGACGCACCGTAACAATCGAGGAAATTCAATCGGCCGATCGCACGTGTAAATCTCCCAGGTCGATGAATATTCCATGCTCGAAGGGTGGTTGGTTCCGTAACCTATGGATACGTTGTACCAGGCTAGACGTGACTATTTGGCCTGCCGGGTATTAGTTCATTTTCAACAGGGAAAACCAAATAAATCCCAAGCAGAATGCGGGTTGGTGAAACCGTTAACGGATTTCTGTCGAACGCGTCACTTTCCTTGCCTGTTAGGCGCTGCTTCGAAATGTATACACGTAGCTAGCTATAACTACGCGAAGGTAACTCCGAGGGTAGATAGAAGTTGGCGAGTGGTCCAGGGATGCTGCGGACGGTGAAAGGCACTTCGGTAGGTACGTTAAAGCAGTTTAAACTTCCTGTTCCTAGTTCGATTGATACTTTGTATCCTCCCCTCCAAATTTCCCCCTTCGATCTCACTCGTTTTCGTCTCTCGCTTATGGTCGGTAACGTGCAAAAAAAAAAAAGAGCGAGCCCGGGGTCAGGGGTGGAGGAGAAGAAAAAAAATCACGAGTTTCATCATACGGAAACATTTTTCCCCCGCAGCTTCCTTTCCAATTTTTTTTTTCCAATCCCTTGTCTGACCTGTCGTCCCTTTGTTACTGACTCCTCCGACTCCGCCCGATTCCCCTAGAGGATGACACGTGAATTTCAGAGTCCACTGGTCCGGCATGCTTCGTACCTAACAAACGTAATTACAAGCACGCGAGTTCCTGGCGCAATCGAGATAGCAAGGAAGCCCATTGATCGCTACTGGGATATTTGCTCGATACTTGTCAATAGCGTAATGACGTTAGTGCTGGCTACTGCGGCGCAGGGTTCGCGTACTTGCCAAAGTATCTATAGGTTAAAGGGTGGTCGCGTGAGAGTTCCTTGCCATGCTAACCGCAACGCTGCAGCCATCAGCCCCGTTACTACTGCTGTAACCCATGCTCACGGCATCACGTGGATTCGTTTCAGGGGGACCAAAGCAATGGTACGATAAGAGCCAACTATCAGGGCTACCGATACGTAAGGTCGTTTCCTCGAATTATTGAACAGCTTGAAAAGTGACGTCACTCGCCGGTGTTTCCAATTCCTAATAAATTCATGGACATTTAATCTTTGTCAAATATTCGAAGCTCCCCAGGGATGCATTGGTACCTGATTAATTAGACAATTTTTAAATTCCTATTTATCTTATCCGTGAGTCTGAATGATCGATGTGACGTTTATGCTGGTGCTGAGTGGAGTCGTTATGAAAAATGACGATAGCCGATAAACTGTCCTTCGAGCGGTTGGCGCGAGTCACGTTTTACAACGGCGTGACGTAACAAACGTGCATTGTGCATTAAGAATTCCGAATTCAGGGCGTAGCGACGATACAGGGACGGGGTCGGCTCTGGCGCGATTGCGTCGCGTCTGCTTGTCAAACGTTCAAGTCACGATTGCAAGAAAGGGTGTTGGGTAATCCGCAAGTAGGAAAACCGCTTGGGAATCCTGAATTCAGTAGGCGTGTGCGAAGGGGAGTGGTTCGCGGGTTGTGAAATTCACGTCTCCTCTCTCACTGCAGCCGCGCCGAAGGGTAAATTAGCTTTATAGATTTCCGTTTGGCCTGGAGCCAACTTCCTGACCTATTATCGGAATAGGGACAGGAGAAGGGCTTCCGTTTCCACCTTTGACTTTGTATAAACCTACAGTATCGTCGCTTCAGGGGAAAATGGGTCGCAGCCGCGTCTGATCTCGGTGGAATCGAAACGTTAAATATATCCAACGAAAGCGTCAAAACGAGGAAGCATCAGCCGTAGGAATGAACCTGGGCCCGCCTTAGTCTTAATAACTTGGTGAAAAATCTCAACCGAAAAATTCATTTCCACGTCGACGAGGAAAAACCGTCTTACAGCGGCGTGTGCACTGCCGGCCGGACACTGACGCTCCTGTAATTACAACTGATAATTGTACCTGCTCAGAATCGCCAGGCAGCGGAGCTACAAGTGCGCCAAACGTAATTGAACTCTTAGCATCCATACAATTAGAGACGCGCCGTATACAGCGAGAGACGGCGCCACGTGCGGACGAGCCTCACGGCTGGAACTTTTAATTGTATAATTACGATCCACTCCCCAATGACGTCACCGTTCGCGAAAAGAGTTTGATTAGTTGCGGCGCTCCGTTGGGACGGAAAGAAAAGAAGAGGAAAGAAAAAAAACGAAAAAATAATAATAAAACAATTCATCGAATATTCCGATGAATCGTCGTCGCTTCTTGCTCCTCTATTTCTTTTCTCTCTTTTTTTTTTTGTCACTCGATTTAACAAGGAGGGTGCGCTAAAAAAGATAATGGATACTGGAACGAAAAAGTATCTTTGACGATTCAGCACCGGAAATTGATTCCTGCGCCATCATCCAGCAGGTGCCTGACTGTTCTCAAGACAAGCGGAGGGCTCGAAGCCCACGTGGCACGTGTGCATGTGCATCGGCTGTGAAACCCGGACGCCACTGCCTCCAACAATTCTAAATGTATTGATCAATTTAATGCGACATCCACTGGGATGTAGGCGATTCGTGCGCGCCGCAATCTAAAAGCATTCCCGGCGTGTTTTAAGATATTAAATGATACGGATTGGATTTTACGAATGTTCCGTTTCAATCGTGTAACTGAAATGACGGTTGTGCAGAGGAGCCCCGAGTGATATGGATCCTATATACATATATGTATATTCTATGAGTACGAATAATATTTGCCATTCGGGAATAATTTTAACGACCAGCCCATAGCATGTACTGAACCGTACTGACTAATCAGTCGCGAATATATGATCAGGTGAAAAGTTAAATCTCTAAATATTACGTATAATCGAGGTGAAATACGGCCAATACGTAAATTTTCATTAAAGTTCAGCGAGTCGATCGTCATTCCCCAAAAACGCCGTAATTGCTTTTTCTTTTAAGAATGTAATAAGGTGTCAGACTTTTGATGAAAACTGTCCCTCGTTCCATCATCAGCTGCTTCACAGCATCAACGAGCGGCTCCGGGCAGATGGGTTTACGTAGAGACAGACGCGGCACGGGAGTACAGGTGAATGGAGAGGAACAAAACGTCAGATGCAGGATGAAAATTTGCCAATTCAGTCTGCCCGGAATATTTGATGGAGATTGTAATTCAGTAGCTGCATTTTCGAGGGGCCTCGAAGGACGAGAGCCTAGAGTCCATTCGCAGTGGAGGATGTTTCACATTAATCTGGGAAGAACGACGTTAAACAAATATACCCATATAAGAGTGATATTAAAAAAAAAAAAAAAAAAGGAACCCATAATGGGAAAAAGTAAAAAATAAATGAAGAAAATTACACGAGAAAAATCGAGCAGCCGCCTCGCTCGAGCACGCGGGGAAAGGAGCGACGCGAAAGGCGGCCGTCGTCAATTTTTCTCGCGAAATTTGAGTCACACGTTTCCCACACATCGGCACGAGCCGGTATCGCCAGCGTACGTTTTTGCGGATTTTTCAATCACGTTCCCCACTGAAAGGATTAATAAAGCGGGCGGGCCGCGAGTTTCTAGACTCATTTCATGCAGAATCGAATTGGATTTCCTAGCATGGCTGGTACCGTTACGAAGTCCCTTTGATGTGCGGCGCGAAGAGCGGGTTATCCGAGGCCGCCGGAGTCGGAGCACTTTGTTACAACGCGCTAAATAATCGGTTTATAAAAATTCATGACGAGTGTAGTGAGGCAGGTGAGGGGAAGTGGCACCCTCCCCCGCCCCAACGAGGGGCGGACTTCATTCGCTTCCGGCTGGTACACGCATTCGCGGTGACGATGTGACGGGTCTGACGGACAGGAGGGACGCGGGGGACGCGTGACGCTGATGAGAGAAGAGGAACCGGAGGGAGGAAGAGGAGGAGCAGGAAAAGTGGAAAATAGAGAGAGGGTCCGAGAACCCGATGGTGATCCTGGTTGAGGGATGTTTTTAGTGGTCGCGCCACTCAAACATGCCGGCGCGAATACCCTCTAAAAGTGGTCGCACCTTTATTTCATACTGCTCGTACTTCTCCATGTATATCCCCCGCATTATTCTGTCAGGACTGCACTGTCGAGTTAGCTGGTTCCTAGCTGCCGGCTGACTGGCTGGGTGACTGGGCTAGCCGGCTTGCCGGTTTAGCTGCTACCTGAGCGCTAGGCGGCCCCCGAATATTATCCTTCTAATTTAATTTTCCCGGCAAGAGTGCCGGACCTGTAACCGTAAAACTATAACGGCCCTGGGCAGCGTGGCTTCTCGCGAGAACGGCCAACCGGATATTTCATTGGACACGAACGCCACGATGCTATCCCCCCACCCACCAATGGCTGCAACCAGCCAACTGCAAAGATGCATCATGCAATTCATATACGTTTTATTTTTGTCTTTACTCCTCACCGCTTTATCCAAACCACCCACCGCTACTGTTGCATCGTATATTTTTATGCCCGAGCTTTTTCGTCTTTTCCCTTTTATTTTTATTTTTTTTTTCACACCAATTTCCGAAACCCTCGAACTTCACTGTACGTTCTCGGAGGACGGAACGTCGACAGCTCATTGCCTTTTCACAAGAAACTTCAATTTTAATGCTGCATACTTGTTTCACCACCCACCCAATATATTACCCAGAGATACTTGAAAGCTAATATCCACGCGTTTGCTTGAATTATTTATTTTTTTTTTTTAATTTCAGTGATATGGACGTTAAGTGTTCAGCGGGTGTCCTCTTCGGAAGCTAACGCCACTGTTGCCAATTCGGAGAATGAGGAAGATGCGGATCTGTCCGAGATGAACCTGGAGAATTTCAAGGAACGTTATCGGCGACTGATACCCTACATGACGTATTACGTGACAAATAATTATGTAAATTCCCAAGCGTCCACACCGTCGAACTACGGAGGGACTCAGCCAGCTGATATATTCTTGAAAAGACCTCAATTCGCATCAGCAAGACCAGCAGTGGATACCACCAAGAAGATCAATGGTTACCAGACAAGCTCACAGAACACAGAAGAGAGATTCATACCGTCAGTTCAATACGACCCCAAAGACATTGGCGGGGATAATGATTACTTTACACCTGTTAGATACAATACCAAATCCAATTATGAGGATTACAATATTCCATATCTGCCGTATCGGAAGCAAAGACCCGTCTACGCGCGGGTGACTACGCCCGCTTCCAGTGTAGAAGATCAGTACTACACAGCGGTTAGACCCTTAAGACCATATAATCCATTGTACGAGCGTGATTACCTGTCGAGAAAATCACCGTTTAAAGCAGTCGGCGGAAACCAGCATCGCGATTACCTGGCGGATATAGTGAATAGACCGCGAGTCAGAGTACCTGTGCATCCTAATCGTGACTTCAATTATCCTATCGATGACTTTGAGCCTGGACGGTACAATAATCCTCCGGTGGGAAGGATTCAGCAGCCTTATAAAAATCAGGGACCCATGTTGACCAGACCACCGATGACGTCATCATACAACTTACCGAGGAACCCTGTTGTCAATCTCGAACAGATAACCAAGAGCCTGCAGTTGACTAATCGACTTCCGGAAACCCTTAGTAAGGATAACATCGATAACAGTCTTAAGACTCTTGTAGAGATTCTTGCTATATTGACCAGTGCCAAAAAAGTAGAAGGTCCAAGAATCCCGACTGAAGGTCCGCCAAGGGTCCTACAAAAAGTACCAATGTATCAGTATTACAAGTCACAATATACCAGGCCCAAAGTAATAACGGAAATGAAGTATGAAGCTACGCCAGTCCCTATTGATGTACCTGAAGAACCTGTTAGATACAAACCAGCATCGTCTTATGTTACCAATGTGAAATCAAAGGTACCAGCAGCACAGTCCTACAAGCCTGGCAGTTTGAACAAGGTTGTAGAGTATTATAGCACGGTGGTTCAAAACGTTGACGATGATAACAAAGAGTATTACGATGTGACGATGGGACCTGAGCACGTGGAAGATTCCACGGAAAACACCTATAAAATTACAGAAGATTTAAAAGATGATATACTGGAGGACGAGAGACTGACCCTGCCTCTCACTACCGAAATGCCAGCGCACAACTACCCCATTCCTGATGGGGTCTCGTCCCACACTCAGAACATTCCACCGACTTCCTTGAAGTACGGCGCCACCCGGGGGAAACCTAACGTGGACTATCCAGCATTCTCCAAGATCCCGAAGACTGACTTCGATTGCAAAGAACAACGTTACAAAGGATTCTTTGGAGATCCTGCCACAGGTTGCCAAGTCAGTATATCTGTATATACCAGACACTATTGAACTAACATACTATTCAGTGCTTATTTAATTCTTAATATTTTTCTTTCTAGGTCTGGCACTATTGCGACCTCAACGGTGGAAAATCATCCTTTTTGTGTCCCAATGGAACAATTTTCAGCCAGGTGGCTCTGACGTGCGACTGGTGGTTTAACGTTAAATGCGAATCAACCACTCAACTGTATGTTCTCAATGAACGGCTCTACAAGTACATTTTACCTATAATGCCGAAATTTCCTGAGGACTTTTCTGGACCAGAAGTCGACAGATATCTAGAACTAAAGTTCAAGGAGATGGAGGCGAAATTGAAAGAAAAGAAACTGAAGAAGCATCAGGAGGAGAAGGAAAATCAAAAATCGATAAATAAATTGGAAGCTCCTAACGATACGGAATAGCACGACAGATTATACTGAGGATTATTGTCCTGCAAGTGTATCGGGTTCTTGCAGGAGATATACCTCGTGCGATTATTTTTGCCATCGCGATTTGTCAGGGGCATCGGTGTTATCGAGTTCGCTCTTGGTGATTTTGTGTTTTTACGAGTATTTTTAGTGTCGATATTTGGAGCGGGTAACATCGGCTAATCGGGTTCCTGTATTTTTTATCCTTCGCTCTTCCCTGGCACTCGCAGGATTATACAGGACTACGGAAGAGCATGGATGACAGATTTGTAAGGTATATTACGCGCGGGTACAGTATGGTTTATCATATCCATGAGTATTCTTCTCTCCTTCTAGTCATATTCGTATTTCATTATTATTTATAAGAGTCTCTGTGTTGCCGACTAGCCCATCCTTTTCAGCGCTATTTGGTACCTAAACAATTCACTATAAGGATGGGACGATAGTTTTACATTCCCTTGCAGATATTTAGTACTTACCGTGAAAAACAAATCCATTATCCTAAGACATACCGAATTACAACTGTTGATTTCTTGAAAGCATTTAGTTCCTTACGACTATAGATGAACGAACATATGAGATACACCCGAACTTTACACGCATTCAGAATGGTATTTTAAAGATTTAAGAGTGATAATTGCACAAATTAAATTTCCTTTTATACATGTACCTAATACTTTATAGTTATTTTGTAAAATTGCTGAATAAAGTTATTTATTCATTTTGTATATGAAAAGCTGAAGTTTATAGAAGTTTGATTTTTTGAGTACCAAGCGATCCGTCTAATTCTAGACGCCATCAGTGATGGGTACCTTTTATATCTTTTATAACGTATAAGATGCTAACAATTTTTTTCTTACCTTTTGAACCTGGTGAACGCGCTGCATTGTTTCTGCAACCTTATCCTGGGCCTTTGTGAATTCTGCTAATAATTCAGCATTCTGGTAACACACAAACACAGAATTGAATGCTTGAAAAAGATATAATTTCATTAATTGGACTCTTATTATCAGTAAAAAGAAATAATAAAAACAAACCTTATCTTCCTGCTTAATGATTTTATGTCCATTATGAGAGTTCACTGCACAATGTGGGCATATGGATTTATTGCACTCAGTGCAGTAATATTCAAGATATTCAGAGGAATGATCTGAACAAAAAATTGTTATGCTTGTGAAATTCAGTTTGGTAGTTTGTGGAAGTATAATTTTGTGATGATTTTGTAAAGCCCTTCCATGAATCTAAAAAGTAAATGAAAAAAAAATAAAAATAACATCTCGCGAAGCTGGACATCTGAATTCAATAGCCTGTATTCAGGACTCGCTCTTAAAGTCATTAACAGAATCACTTTTAGTTAAAAGTCACTAAGAAAAATTTTTAAAGCATGCTATTAGTACTAAAAGCAATTTCTGAACACAGGCTAATATGTCTAAATGTTCATGCAAATACTACAAATATGAATTTTGGACAAGCTTAATAACATGTCATATACCTTTGTGTAACATAGCTCACAATAAAGCACACTGCAGTCTTGACATCGACATGCTGCTTGCATTCCACATTCACAGCAATGACCTTATTAAATTTAATATAAAATTAATGTAAAGAAAATATTCTTAGCAAAATTGTTTTTCATTAGTTCTACCGAATTAAGCTATCATTTTGTAACTTACCTTGATCTTGGGTCTGTCTGTGCCGAGAACCTACTGGATGTTGGAAAGTAATATCAGGATCATCGTCATTACTTGAACAACCATGACCAAATCCTATTAAACCCATTACATATGCATTTAATTGTAGATTTGATTTGGTTTCTTTTTCTTCAACAATTTTGCAGAGTGGACAAATTTTATTAACATTCAACTCAGAGCATTTCTCGCATATAGGATGCCCACAACTCAAAAGTAAAGGAACTAAAGATCCCTGAAGTTGGCAAAAATCTATAACATGCAAACAATATATTCATTGCATTAATTAACACATTCTAAATACATTAAAAACTATGCCATTGAACATACCTCATATACTATAGTAAATATAGAAAAATAAAGTAAATTCTTCTAAAAAATACCAGTTATCTAACCTTACTTTATACCTTAAATATAAATATAAATGTTGAAAATAGTTTAAGAATTATAGGTATAAAGTTCGACGCAAAGGAAAAATAGGATATGCTCAAACGGATCAAGTTACACCATTGTTCGAATTCGAAGTTATTATTTGAATAAGAATATATAATTGAATAATTTTTGTTAAATATATAAAATACATTAGATGGCAGTAATAATATACAACAGATATGAATATTTGTGCTATATTTTCTTAATAATGCACGATTGAAATACGTATTACAAAATGTGCATAGTTAATATAGACAAAGGAATTACCTCGTACGAAGAAGGGATGCTTGCACTGAACACATGAAATGTTTCGTCGTTTTGCTGTTGGAAAGATTAGCTTGTGCTTATGCACCTCTTGCTTGTTAAATCGTTTCATTTTCATTAAACTTATATGAAAAATCTTAAACAATGATTCAATACTAAACTAGCTGTAATTCGCGCTATACACTGATACTACACGTGAAAATGCCACAGCCTTCTAGATTAGCAGTTCAGATGGCCGACCAGTAGCGTATCACGAGAGCAGCGCACCACTCGTTTCAAATTCACGAATTCAATAAAAACTAAATAATTAAAATAAGATTATTTCAATAAATTAAGATTATAGAACATTATTTTTGTATTTCCCTTTTGAAAAATTTGTTTCGGAAGTATTATTATTTTTCTTAATTCGTAAAAAATTATTTTCAAATTTCATATTGTTTTATTAAAATATTTTTAACATGCTAATCATAGTATTTCCAGAGATTCCATTAAGTACAATTCACGCATACCGTATATATGAACGTACATCTAGATGCTAAAATGAAGTCTAATTTGAAAGTTGTCAGTTCTGCCGCAAACAGTTACTACCGTTCCTGGAACATTCCCCAACAGTATGTTCAAAGTTCGTACCCTACGGTAAATCGAGTCCATATCAGGGCTCATTCATTCTTGATTCTACAGTAATTTACAGAACACTCGACTCCTGGAGAGATGAAAGATTCATACGAAGTTTAATAATTTTGTAATGTATTATAATTAGATCACCCAGTGGTCGATCTCCAACTTCAACATTCCATCTGCATATTTTGCCGGGCATAAAGCATTAAAAAAAAAAGAAAAGTATCCTAGAATTTCCGTAATCCGTCAAGATGGTCGCGTAGACGAATCTACAGGTATTCATCGTGTCATCCATGAAAGTAGCGTACAGCTCTGCTAACTAATTTATAACGAGATTACTCCATGGCAACTTGGAATTGTGGCGTGCCCGAGTGTACGGACGCTTCGCAGGAAATTCGATAACACCGAGAAACCGTGCGAGACGCAAACCTAGAGACAAAGAGAGAAAGAGGAAAAGAAAGAGAGAGACATAAATCTATAAAGAGTACAAATAAAATGAAGATATCACAGATTATACACTTTGATTTCAGGTACCTTCTCGTTTCATCTGTCTCATTTTGAAAGTCAGATTCATCGACAAGGTTCGCGCCGCGGAGTGTTTCCGAAGTTTCACAACAGAGGTCCGCCACGTTGTCGAAGCGTGCAGTGGCGGAAGCGATTTGGTAAAAATGGAAAAAGTTGGCGCAGCAAGTTATGCAGGCTTATCTGGGTCTAGGTGCGGTTAGAAGGGTCCGTTATAATCGCGGTTCTACGTTGGAGAAGGTCGGCGTGAAAGCAAAGAGAGAAAGAGAGCACCCATGGAGTCAGTTGAAGAGCAGCGACTAGAAGAGTAGAGACGTTGCAAAGAATATGTGCGAGAAGGCGAAAGAGAGAGAGAGAGAGAGAGAGAGGAAGAAAAACAGAAACACAAGATAGACGCATATATGTATGTATAGGTAGACAGCTAAGAAAGACTGTAGTTGCGCTAGGCAACAGAGTGAAGCAAGGTCTAGGCTGGCCGGCATTCAAGGTCGGGTGCAGAGCGCAAAGCCCGGATCTACCCCCTCTCTCTACATCTCAACCGCCCTTTGCGTCTCTCTTACTCTCTCTAGACGAGTGCAACATCGATTTACCTATAAAAATTGTCGGCGCTCGACTCTATCACTCGCTCGTAACTCGTTGCCCGGGCTACTAGTCGTTGCACGTCATCGGAATTCTTTCTGTCCCTGGGAAAAGGGCGTGCATGAAGCGACAGAACGTGGGCAATTAGTAACGTGCATTCAGATGCATATACCATATGACCAGGCCTGTACCCAAATGATACTGCTAATTGTATGAAAAACTCGCGTTTACTTTGGAGCTATAGAAGTGAACATGGCCCATTAAGAAATGAAGAGAAGAAGGTTTCACGATGGACGATACTTGAACACGTGTCTCTAAGGCGGAAAGTAGTCGGGGTATCTAAGTAGAGACAGATAGGTAAGGCTGTGGAGTGTTGAAACTGGTACATAAGACATAGGAGGTACAGAAGGAAACATTTAGCAAGAGGATACTTGGCAGCCGCATCATTTTCCATGTTATATTCGCACACTCTGGAAAGTATATATGTATAATTTATAGAAATGAGAAGATTCAAAGACGGAAGCATATTTCGTATTGGCGAGAGAGATTTTCTCGGCGCCGTTGTAGTATGAAACTGGCGCTAGACTCGACTTGCTTCTAAATTCAATTCCGTTGACCTACATTAATGTGCGCGACAGGGTGGAAAGTGTCGGTAACTTTCTGGGAAAATTTCCTGTAACAGGAGGTGCTCTTTCGTGTTCAAGAGGAAGAGGCAGAGGAGTGGAAAATATCTTCTCAAATCTTGGTGTCAGTTATAACGTCAAGATTATCGTGGGAAGATGTTCTCCGGGATTGACAGATTACGCAAAATCGTTATAAAGTATGAAGCTTCTCGTTAATTGTTTCATACAAAAGAATTCAGTGTAACACTACGGGATAGAATTACAGGTTACATCGATGCCCGCCTATTTGTACGTTTATTATTTATGTAGGAACGTCCAACGATGCTGAGTGAACCGAATAACAAATATGGAAACGAATTTTTTATATTTCTTTTACCTTTTGCAGATCAGAGACTACCTAACCTAAAATGCACAAGGCAAAGGATTTTCAGTGGATTCGCGGGATTCGAAAAACAATCTATTCGACCCACTCGCTTATGGTTTTACGCCAATGCAAATTATAAATTGGACTTGATTTTCTGCTGTCCTTCACGAGACGCCACAGGCTACTACGGAAAATTGGTGAAATCGAGGGAGAGAGAAAATTTTGGATACCGGCCAAGAGTACCGTTTTCGGATAGTCCGTAAGTTTGTTTTCGTGAATTCAGTTCCTCTTTATATGGTAGCACTACCAGGAGCATCGGTTACTTCCCAAGGAATAAAGTGATCAGCTGGAGCCAACGTCATCCCCTAGTTCCCCTAGATGCTTGCGTTCGACGTCAACCTCGCGGTCGACAAAGTTCTCCCCCAGCTAAGCCAACTGGAAGGTTTGTTAACGGACAGACGTTTCACCTCGTCTATACTTTTTTTTCCTACCTTTTCTCAACCGATCCACCCCTATGCGTCGTTCTTACACGGTGTTTACGTATTTTTCAGTGACTTTATAAATATACGCAGAGTCTTCTTTATTCGTGGAAAGAATACAAAACTGTACTTACGACAGCTGCACGAGTACCGAGGATCAAGCCGTAGAATGGGAAAAAGGCAAAAAACTGAAGAAGAAGAGAAAATGAGGAAATGAGAAAATCATTCGAGACATCTTGATTGTACAAGGGAAGAAAATAGAGGCTGATAACATTGAACCATCAGGGAGAATAAATAAGCATTGGACTGTTTAGGTTTGCTTAATGGCTAATAACGGATATTTCAACTCGTTTAGTATCACTTGTACCTTCAACCTCATTGACTTGGCATTGCCAACCTTTTCGAGCCACCCTCGCCTTATTCTCATTGATAATGTTACTTTTTCAGAGATCCTCCATCTTGCTCGAGTCCACGTGTATACACTACCTACCATCCAGCCTCCCTGCTGGCTTGCCCTTCCTTCATCCAATACATCCGATTCCCCTTAAGCCCCATTTTCAAGCTGCTTCCTACCACCGACCTATCATTACTACCCTACCATACTAGCACTCCTGGTCCAGTTATAGCAAGGCTGGAAGGTACCTGTCGCGCTCGAAGCCTTGATAACGCTCTTGCTTGAACGACATTTTCCGCCCTTAAGCACCTGATTTACATTGAAAATACGACGAGGCCTGCGCACTTCCTATCAAAGAGTGCATATAACCTATATACGTAAGTTCTGCATCTACGTATGTAAAGTCGACACAGTTTCCATAGGATAAGTTTAAAGGGTGTGCGCTTCTGCACTACTGAAGTCGGACTGAGCTACGCTCATTAATTTTAACCAATGGTTTTAAAAACAGATCATTACTTTTCAGTTTCAATCTTGAACGTGTTACACGTGTAAAGAGCTCCAACGCATTTCCGCTAAAGTTTCCTCAGGATGAGAAGCTGCTCGAACTCTGTGATAATGTGGTAGCTATCTGCTAAAGGGATTATGGAGGAGATGAAGAGGAAATTAACAAGTGAATATCTTTTTTCTTACTTTATTTTCAGTGGTTACTTTAAAGGTGGGTTCGTTTCACGTAACTGGCTATGATATCGATTAGACGTGTTTAATATATTATTATAAATATATTTACTGCATAGAAGCTTTACGTATTTATATTTTTCTATGCAGAAGCAACCTTCGATGCAAGAATCGTCGTCGCCGTGGTCGTCCATAACTAGGACTAAATACACAGCAGATCGCCTCAGCAAGCAAGGAAAAATAGCCAATATTCTCTCGCGTTTCCATGTGAACTACCGATTTATTTTCTTTCTCAATTCGACCGCCGGCGCCTGCAACCTTACGAGTTCGAACTGCACACTCGTACTGAAAGTGTAGGACGTCTCTTTGTCAGACACTCTTTTGCCGCTTCACTATAAATGACGTTCGCTGTAACGTTGGACGCCCGGTTGTTCTCGCGTAAACATTTGTCGCCATACTCTACCTTGCATTTTACTCACCTACGTCACGCCGATATTCACCGCGGTTTGGCAATAAAGCTGGCTACTGTGAACGAGACTGGCAATCAGCCCCTGTTTACCATCCCTTTTCGAATTCATTAACGGTCGCTCTTTTTTTTCAATACTCTGTCAAATACAGCTCAGCTATAGATATATTGTACAGTCGACTCTGCAATGAAAATATGTAAAAACTGTATTGAAATATTAAGGTGAACAGAGTCGCCTTGAGGCACTATTACATGAATAAAAATATATTAATTTTGAGCATGCGCCGAACCGCAGGCAGAAGTGCTGGACACTTGCAGATGTTACTATCTCATATACAAACGACACTTGATTTTCCCTGTAATTCCAATACCCTATTGGCTGAGCAATTCCGTCAGAATTTCTAATATGGTTATTAACTTTTAATATTTGCGCATGCGCTGTTTTAAAACCAGAAATGCCCAATACCTGCAAACGTTATTCTTACATCTACGACCGAGACTTGTTATTTCTGTGAATTTCAACCCGATCGATTTAACGTTTTGCTCAGTATCTTTTATACGGAGCAAAGATACATATAACCACGTAATTTTTTTTTTCACTTGCGATTGCAGCTCTCGCATACTCGATACTGTCATTTGTCAAAATGAAATTTCATAATTTTCCTCGTATTTATGTTTTTCTCGTTCCAACATGATCGATGGACATCTGCTCGAGTCTGTTCGAGTCTTAGATTTGCAGTGCAGACCCGAGGGTGTAACCTTGCCCAGTATAACCCCTGCTTCGGGGTAACGTGAGACATCAGATTCGCCGTGGTGTATAACTTAAAAACAAAAAGGTAGCAGTAACCAAGCCAAAAAAAAAACCGCTCATAACGATTACCGGCAGGTACTCAAGAATTAAATAAAAAGCGCGCAGCTTAATTTACCCGGAAGCTCGTCGTAGTGCCTACGTAGTATACAGATTCGCGGACCTCACGGTTCACCCGGATAAATCTGCAGTTGACGGGTGGTACTTGCAGCTTGAAAAAGCTCAGAAAGTTTATCAAGGCTTGACTTACTGGCGAAACGAAAGATTTCATCTAAATATCGTACAGCCAAGTTATACGTATATACAGCCCCCGTGTACCATCTCATGGTACCATACCCACTTCATCTCGGATCATCTATCTAATTTATCTATCTAAGATAAAAATATCTAGGTAAAAAATTACCATCTTCCCTGAGTGAGAAGAAGAAGCTTATTGACGAATTATACAGTGAAAAGTTATTCCCTGGGTATGGCCCATCCTCGTAACAATGAAATTACATTGCATCCTAAAATTGCAAATTCCCCAAAGCAGGAATGACAAATTGCTAGAAATATGTAAATACGATAAGGTGTGGAAATACATAAAACTCTGAATTGTGCTTGATATATTAGAAGCCGTATTAAAGACTTCTAAGAAGAAAGCAGGCTAGAACGCAGCAAGAAGTGCAGTACCTGGCTGTAGGTTATGAAAATGCAGGAACCAAGTCGTATCCAAGTAGCGGTTGTCCTGGTGATTCGCGTCGGAGGAACCAGCAGGCGCGCAAGAAGGAGAAGCGTAGGTTGAGCTACGTGGGAAGTTGGTAGCGCGGAGTCGTCGAGTGGCAACCGCCCCCTAGATCGGAAGATGGCCGCAGGGTGGTTAGCTTGGCGGGGAGCTCAGAGGTACTCGACGAGCTGGTGCGCGAGGGCGGCCAGAGGGTGATGTTGCCTCCGTGGCGACGTGGAGTTAGCGGTACGGGGGTGGGTCGACGCCGATCGTCGAGGCGGTGGAGGTGGTGAACATAAAATCCCTCGCACATGCCTGGTGCATTCATTAGGGGGGATGGGCCCGTGCAGCGTACACGTCGTCCTGCATCCTTGCCACCCTCTGTGCCACCCCTCAGTCGCGTTCCGCGAACAACTTCGTGCGCTTCGTGCGGCGTCCTCTCGGGATCGTGTGCTCTAGCTTATTGGAATCGGCAGAGATCTGGTCACTCCTGTTGGATCTTTTATTGATTCCTGATCATTCTGCAATAATAGAAATTCGCTTGCATTTTCGATCGTGGAAACTGAACAGTGCGCGTTTGCCGTGTGAGACGTTTGCCGTCTGCAAGGGTCTGGGACTCTCTTCTTTAGGGAGACCCCTGATCCTCCTTGGGACTTGGAAGGACAGACTGGTGTGACGAGGAAAAGGGAGGGACTTTTAAAAATACCGGTTTAAGTAGGTCGAGTGGTGCTACGTCAGGAGAGTCAGCTGATCCGTTGGTACTTGGGGCTGAGATTTACGTAGAAAGGAAAGAAGAAGGTGAGAAGTAAAGAAGAGAGAAGGATCTACGGAGATTCCGCCAACTGAAGATTCATCAATGAGAAGAGATCATCAGGAAGAATAAAGTCCCCAGGCGCCGCCTTCGGGGTCGGCAGAATTTCACGTTCATGAATTTTAGTAAACCAGGTAACAGCGCGTAGTGCGTGCATGCGTGCGTGCGTGGATGCATGCTGTGCTTCGCGTTTCAGAAGCGGAATACGTATTTTGTCTTCGGACCGAAGAGTCGGAAAAGCGCTATATATTTGTTTTTCTCGTTTTTAATAATCTTGCCGTTGCGAACTCAATTTTGAATTCCATGCCTATACCGATAGACTTTATTTTGGTGTAACCTCTCAAGGTTGCATTTTTTTGGGGATTTATTCGTACGAACAGTTCGTCAGTTACGTTAGTTTTTCTTCTTTCTAAAAGATTATGTTTCCTCATCTTTTTGTCATGCTTTTTCCACCTTTATTTATTTCGGTTTTTTTTTTCATTTATTTTTTTCTTCCGCCTCAACCTCCCTCGGTTCCTACGTCACGACTCTCTGAATATATACGCTTCTTTCTCTCTCTATTGCTCTGGTGCTCCCGTGAGAGGAGAATTCTTCGTACCCAACCCTTTGCTTGCCCTGATTGTATTACGTCGAACTCAACGCTTTGTACCCGATCCAAGTGCTCCTAGCAGCTCAGCCACGTAATAACGACGTTTCCACCTATTTTCCGCGAGTAACTCCATCGTTTGAAGATCGAACCTACAAAGCGCGTCCATTTCTCCTGTTGCGCGAATTATATGGAGGCCGGAAGTTCCTCGAGATAGTTTACCTCCATATAGAAGTGTTTAGTTCCATACCAATAGTTTAATATTGTATTAGGGATATTGTTGTATGGTGCTCTGTATGAAAATAATATATGACCATTACACATCTATTATATAAATCGTATATAAAATGGGCCTATATGACTGTATTTGAGTCATATATAAATTAAATAAACACGACTTATGTATATCGACAAACAAAAATATTTATTTAAATAAACGTGTGCATGGTACGAATATATATAATATTCGGCATATCCTACATGTATCAGATATATGTCACAGTTTATATGGATTTCATATAGACCCACTTTTGTACACGGTTATTCAAGACAAACGCACCACCTAAAGTTAGTCTGTCCATTTGTTTCCTATGATTAACCAACTTCAGTCGGCGCGTCTGTATCGAATAGATCTATAAAACAATATATAAAAATTATATATATGAAAATATATAATTTATATGTGATCTATATATATATATTCTTCACATGAGTGTGCACTAAAAAGTGATTCCGAGAAAAACAGACTTTTTAAAAGAGTCAATGCATGAGAGAGAAAGAGAGAGAAAGACGAATTGTCAAAAAGAAAGGAGAGAGAAAAAAACGTAAAAATGAAAAGTATTTTTCTCCTTTTTTACCGACTGACATTCGTAAGACGTTTGACGTTGTCTAGCAATGCCGGACACCTGAAAATTCAAATCGCGATAACAAAGCCTACGCACCATGTATCCTCCAGAATTCTTCCTTTTGTTGTCTTTTTTTTATGTAAAGAAAAATTTGTCAAACAAATATGATTACAATGTATTTATATAACACGCGCGTATCAAGCTACACGGAAGATCGACCTCAGGAAGATTCGACTTGACGAAGATCAGTATAGAGGTTGGGATCGGTATTCATATTATATAATATGAAAAGTGGAATAATCTGTTCCATTGATTATTCATAAGATTATCCCTCTACAAGGCGGGGCTTTACCAATGTATAGTGTAATACAGAAATATAACAATCGCTTATCGATCCACGATGCTACTTCGATAGACCTTCATGATACGGATCAGTTCCTACGGTCCTATAGTCAAGTTCGGTTTGAGAAAAATTGTCTAGTTACTAGTTTAGACATTTCGCGAGTGCTTGCAAAAGTATCGGGTATACCCATCGGCTATAGGTTTACTGTCCTGGCGCCGAGTCAAAGGCGCCGAAGCAAGAGTAGGTAGGTACGTACCTGCTCGTCTCCTTTCGTCTCCCAGGAATACGTCCTTAATTGTCCGTATCGAATATCGATATACCTTATAGTCCCATGTCCCTTTTATTTACCTTATTATTGTAATTTTATATAATACACATTAGCATCGCTAATGTGATCTTTTCCCAAGTGGCAGTCGTCGTCTTTTAAGTGGCAAAACCGAAAAGCCTTTTCAAACGAGCTGAGAGTTAAGCGTAGCTAACCTAGAGGGCGACAGTGTCTACGCGATGCCAGTAATCCCCAGTTAATTAATCGTAGCCGGTTCTGTTGCCGGATATATTATGTTTTCATTGCGGTCTCTTGTCTCGACCTACCACCTAATAAAATTCATGTTTTTAAAATTCGCAAGTCTTGCAAATTCGCTATTGTGAAAATAGATAGACGTGCCCGTGTTCGTGCGTGTGCATGACTGGAACTGTCTGTGTTCAAAGTTCCAGACGAACCGTTGAAATGATCAGATACAGAAATTATGACGATGTCATTAGAACAGTAATATTTGCGAATGATACAATTTCAGTCATAAAGTTTCGCGTCTGCGGAATATTATTTTTTTCAATGGAGAATGCACAAAATGCAATCGTACCGTTGAAGCGGCCGTATGTCACGGCAAACTTGCTTTACCCTGACGTGCTTCGCACACATTTCACCAATTCACACTCGTCACTGCTAAGCGAAGCATTTCCTTCTGTGTAAGCCATGAATGAAAATTCGGTTAAGAGGACTTGGGAGTACATCATAACCTCCAAAATGGAATCTCGAATAATAAATTCTGATGTGAGTTACGTGCAATTTTTTGAGGTGTAAGATGCCTATGTTAAAGTTTTACACGAATTTCATATTATTATTTCGATAATGTATTTTTTTTACTAAAGTGCTATTTCGCTGAATGTAGAACTTACACAAAACATGCATGCAATCCGATTCGATAAAGATAACACATCGGTTATATGTAATTTATGATTTCTGTGATTGATGGTTTAAGATGGCTGTTGATATTCCCCAGTCGCGTTAAGAAGTTCGCAATGGGAAAGCCGTGCGAGTATTGCAAAGGGCCGTCACGTGCCGTCTCATCGCCGGACCACAAAATCCCGCGAGTTTACCTGATGTCCCGTGTCAGTCTCGTTTCCGCACCTTGATTATTTCTGATGAATACCCATCCAGAGCGTCATCAATATATCTATACAGTGACCACCCTGTACGTGTATTCGATCAGACTGAATCGACGTGAAAGGTCTATTTAATCGAGCTGCTGTGCTGTACAATGAGAGAGAAAGAGACTGAGAGATGCAGTAGGCGTGCGCATGTTTTGTATTTAGATGAAAGAGGCGAACAGATAATGGGTGGAACAGGGACAAGATCAGAAATTAAGAGAAAGAGAGACAACCGATGAAAATCCAAACTGTATTTCGTCAGAAATATTCGTACGCACAAAATGTACAGCGAGTCGTTATCAAGGTTGACTATGTGTATCATACTGGAATGAAAATTAATACCAGAAAGCAGCCGATCTACATGAATTATCGTTAATCATAATTATAATGAGCCGAAGTACGTCATACTATTCCATAGTTTAATTGGAATAATTTTTGGTAGTAGGATAAACAAGGAAGAATGCGTTCAAGCAAGGCAAGTGATTCCTTTCGATAGAACGTCCGTTGGACCTACAATGGAGATAGATTAAAAATAAATATATCGATCGGTAACAAAATCCGGGAACAAGTTTAGAGCGCATACATGTGAAGCAGGGAAAAAGAGAGAGAGAGAGTGAAAGAATAAAATGGAGAAAGAGAAAATTGCTGTCATGGTAAAGTGTACACTATTTCGGTTGGATTGGAAAGCGAGAGCAAAAAAAGGGATGTCGAGAGAAATTTGGTTCCGCGTTCTTTGTTCTGCAGTTAGTTGTAAATCGTATTCGAGCACCACACGTACCGATAGCCACATACACATATTAAAATTCATATAATATCTACATATAGTCTATGGTGAGTTTTTCTTATAAAAAAGCAAAAAGAGTTTTGTCTTTTATTTATTATCGTAGTTTGGCGCTTGAAAAATATCACAGTTTTCAATGTTCACTCTCTCGTATTGGTTTTCATAGTCTACGCGTGAAGTTATTAACGAAGATCTCGTACTAGCGTGAATTATTATGACGTTTCGTGAATTCGTAATTTGGTATGGAATAGAAGCCAATATTTTTCCGTGCTCATATTTTCTCTATGAGGGATTAATAAACTTGTATCTTCTGCTTCTGTCATGCAGTAGATGAAGAGAAGACTCGTATTGAAAAGAAGTCGCCCGTAAAATATGCTCGAAGGGACAATCACTCTAGCGGGAGAATAACCAAAGAAGTCGATATTTACCGACCGCGCAAAATGATAGGCAATGTATTGAGAAAAATTGCTGCCGATAATTTAGATCATTACTTAGATTGACATGCGTCGGTATTAATATTATTTTTTTCATATTGAAAGCGTGCTGCTAATTACTTTGATTTTATCGCTGTCAGCGCATTTATTGCAGATGCTCTAAATAGTGGAATGTGAGAAATAACAGCATTTTTATAATATTTTACATTTTACGTCTCTAGATTAATTGTATTGATGGATCGCGAGTAGGGGGACTTAAAAGGGAGGGGTGACTTAAAAGGATCGAATGATTATTTCACTACCATAATAGTTACAGTTTTGGATAAAATATCTTGAAGAAGTCTTTAAAATTATGAACTGAATCTATATCGTTTTCAATATTACGGGATATCTATTAAAACTATTAAGAAACGATTTGCGAAGTTTGAATAACGCCTTTAGGATGTCTTTTTGTCATGAGTGAGGTTCACGCATACAGATGGCGTACAAGTGATATGCTGTTGTCTGCTTGAGACTCTGTGAACGTATGGAGTATCCTGCTGACAGACAATACTGTTTGGACATTTTCATTTGGACTGATCGTGAGATCGAAAAGCGATAATGTACGCTATTTTTCGTAGTGTTTTTAAGCTTGGACGATAAATGGTGTATTACATGTATACGTTGGTCTTGTACAACGTGTAAGAGGGCGTCGGAGATTCGCGAAATGAAAATGGAGAGAGAGAAAAAAACGGTAACCACTGGCAAATTGGATAACCCATCCAATTTACTGCATTTAATTACATCCCGGTAGATACATAATGAATATTTTATTATTTATTCGACGGAATAAGGCGATTATACATATAAAACATGAGAGGAATTTGTCAGGGAAAGCGACAACATTTGAAGATACAAGGAAGATATAAGGGATAATTTTCGTTTAATCAGTTGAAATAATCGAGACTTGGCTGAATTCGGTTTCCGGGAGAGAGTGATTGTAGATTTTGTCAATAATGCAAATTTATATCTCGTACCGAGACGTTAGACAGTGTCGTGAGATCACGAGTCGGTCGTGTGTCCTGTTGGTAAGAACGTGCCGTTAGATTAGACTTTCTGGCCTAAAGAAGATAAAACAAGATGAAAGCTGCTAGCTGGATATACGAGGAAACGCATGAAATTTTACGAAGATATATAACGCGATTAAAATGCAGAAAAGTGTGTAAAAGAAAAAAAAGAAAGAAAAGAAACGTCGTATCGTGAACGTAATGTGCGCGTTTGGAGATTTGAATTAAGGCGCCCTTCGCGCCGGTCGCTCCGGCAGATGCACGAAGGTCAAAAGTATTTTAAAAATAAGGCCGTAGGCATTGGCAGATTGGTATGGCAGTGGACGTTAAGGGTCGGGTGGCGTTGTAATGGCAAAAAGTTTGCGAAAGGTGAGTATTCCAAGAATATAAACAAACCTGGGGTATTTGTAGTGAGCGGGAGTGTGCGTGGTGAGGAGAACGTTGGGTTTTCGCGATTAAAATCAAAGGATAGAAGGCTTCGGGCGTCTCGCGTCAAGCATCAACAAATAGTTTTCGCGAGGAGGCTCGTACCGAGAAGTGCACGGCCGACAATGGCGCCCAAGCCTCGCGAATATTGACATTGCCGAAAACATTACCTCTGAAAATCGGGTATTAGCGTATACGTGGGTGGCACGTACTGCGTCGCAATTTGCGGTCTAACCTCGCGACGATCGCGAATCACGCTTATCGGGCCGAAATTTCGCGTAGCAATTGCGTCCGGTGGCCCGAGGTTATGCGAAAAAATGTTTTTGGCATGTATAGTAGTAGCCCGTGAACCCTGAAGGGTTTTACAGTTATACTGCAATGTGGCACATTTGCAGAACCGTAGAGGACGGTGTGTGCGGCTAGAGTAGCGATAGTCTTCGTGGAGATATATACCCAGGTGGTGTAGCGTGTGTGTAGAGAGCGCGTGTGACTCAGGGTTTAAGGGTTAGAACATTGGGACCAGGGTGGTCCGGGGTACAGTGCAGAACCATCAACACAGCTAGTTTGCTTGTAGGGCTGGGATTGGAGATAGACAAGATGGACCAGCAGTATTGCCTTCGCTGGAACAATCATCCGGCCAATCTGACGGATGTTCTCAGCTCCTTGTTAGCACGAGAGGCACTTTGTGATGTTACCCTGGCCTGTGTCGGCGAAACCTTCAAGGCACATCAGACGATACTCTCTGCGTGCAGTCCTTACTTTGAGAACATTTTCCTTCAGAACACCCATCCTCACCCAATAATCTTCCTCAAGGATGTCAACGACACTGAGATGAAGGCATTACTCCACTTTATGTACAAGGGAGAGGTTAATGTTAGTCAGCATCTACTACCGATGTTCCTTAAGACCGCAGAGGCACTGCAGATCAGAGGCCTCACTGACAATAGTGTAAATAACAAGACCGAGGAGAAATGCCCATCACCAGAACCAGAGACCCAAACACCTGGAATCAGACACACCGATTCGCCTAACCTACAATCTCATCCTGAAAAGAGGAAACGAAAGAATTCTGGCAACTATGATGTCTCCCTCACCGGCCCGCCCAGTGAACGGTTCTTATCCGATTCTCAGGTATATACTTTTATAAATGTTAATCTTATTCTTTTATTTAAAAATGAGAGTTCTCTACTTAAGGTGGTTTTTGGTTCTTGTATCATGTGCTTTCATCACCTAACACTAATCCAGCTAGTCTCTTTAGGCAGCTTTACGGAGTGATCACTCATTGAAAGGAGAGTAAAAGTGTTGCAGTGCAAATATGTGTCGCCAAACTCCCCTTAGAAAACTATTACTAACCCATTTTTAAACGAAAATAGAACGAGGTAAAACGTAGCTGGCAAAACATGCGGGCATGCGATATAGGTAAATATTTTGCATATGCACTGAGTCAGAATTCTATACTGTTCCACAAAATGATCTGAAGACGGAATGGAATTTTCCATTCTAGAATATTCAGTCTAGTGTCCCTCCTATCGCATATAATATGCACCTGTAAGTGCGCATATAAAATATATTCTGAATACAAATTTAACTACTTTGCTGAATCCCAAAACTGTTAAACTTCGTTATAGAATCAATTTAATGCAATTTACGACTGATCCGCTAAATTAGTTGCTAAGTGTTTCTAACTATGAATTTCGCATAGAAGTAGTACGTTTCACTTTCGTTGGAGCTTTGATACGAGTAACGTGTACCGTGCTCCAAAATCTCGCGTTTCTTTTACGGATTATACCATATGGAGCATTGGCTATACCATTTCCTGCATTCACTGTAATCTTTTTCCTGATCGCATCCATCCCGCTATCAAATGTGACATTACCGACCAGGCAATCCGGATGCACGGTATTTATTTATATCAAAACGTAGTGACCCATTTTTTTACCACGGGATTGTCAACTTCATGTAATTCTATTGTTTTAGATATATATTCTCTTTTCGTTATAAATCTACACTTATACCTATTGTCACTAATTTGATATCCTCTTCACCTAGGAGTACAGCCAGTCAATTTTGGCAAGGTATACCCGGGATGCGATCAATATCTGTTTTAAAATGGCTCATCGGTAATTTATATTTAGTTGATGGAACGAGCACACATCACTCGTTCCATTTATAGCGATTTTCCACTGACCAAATGATACAATAGATATAGAAAGCCGCTTATCTTGTTGCTAGAGTAAACAGTTAGTCCGCCCTGAACTGTATTGCTTTTCCATTAAGTGCCCTTTGAACTTTCAAAACTTTCTCCAACGGCCCACCAGCCATTCGATTTGGCCCCATTTCAAAATCTTTACCCCAAAATCGGCGAGAGACTCAACAATTTTCGAAATAAATTCCTTTCCATTGAAGGTATTTGGCAAAAGTGCAAAGAATAACTATGAAGTCGGAGCCGACCTCGCCCGTCTACGCACGTACGTTTATTATGCCTTTTTTCACTCTGGTATTATTAGCAAAAGTCCTCCGTCTTTAAATGCCCTCGAATAAGACAATGTTACTAGAAAATTTGTATGCACTTCATACATATGAAACACCTTTAATAATTCGTCGAACCGTTTCAGAAGCACTTTATACCTTAGACCATCCAGCAAATACCTTCTGCCGCGCTAAACCTGTTCTGCTATTCTACGCTCTGACGAAATTCGCTGGAATCTTGTTTCTCTGGGAATTATTAATTTTGCCCTGGACAAAAATGTCTGATAGCTAGCACTGTGGTTTTGTTTTTAATTTTTTTTCTTTTTTTTTTCTTTTTCGGAGCAAGAACACATGTTGCAAAATTGCTGCGCAATAGATAACGTAGGGATCGTGTTACCATTCGATCGTCAATGCTGGTGCCGAATATTCTAGCGCTGTCTGTAAGCATCTGTAATGTAAAAATGTTCTTTTCGAACAGCATAACGACCTTGCGTATTGAAAACGTCTAGAGTGGCAATCTACAATTGCTCCTGAACGCCTCCATTTCTTGACTAGACTGGAATGATGTTTTCGTTTATTATATATATTATACATTGGTTCACGAGACCTTCTTCACCAGTGTATTCTCTTTTATCGCGAATTTTACATTGTGACTAATATTACGGAACGACAGAAATCGCGCGTGTTACGTGCGAGTATTTAAGTAGCGAGGTTTTTAGGGTACGAGACGGGAAGAGGGAACAGGAAAAATTGGATAGACATCAGCATAAGAAAGAAGATTAAGACGTTCGAGGTCAATCGTAACAGACAACTTTATAGTCACTGCTCCGAGATGATAAAATATTGTCACATAAATGTTCGTCGCGTTTCGCAGTCTTGGCAAATTTGCAAAATCTTTCGAGATTAGTTACTTTCACCGTAGGGTCGTAAAAGGTCAGGAGGCGGCTAAAAAAATTGCCAACTTGAAACCTGTTATTTTTGGGCCGATCTTATGGGTCGGCGCTTCTGTATGACGATATCCGCGAAAATGCACATTCGAGTGTGCGTGCGCATGTTTGTGTAATGTGGTTCGTGTTTACGTATCTGCTTAGCGACGTCGAGACGGTTTATTCCGTGTTTCTGGTAAACGCCCTTCTATCGCCGTTGAAGATGTTCAGCTATATTTGTTCAATGATTATGGATCTCCATGACACGCCGCAGTGAAATTTACTTTTCCTGAAAAATTAGTTCAATAATTTTGACAGCGGTCCGCTAATTACCGAGTTTTTTTTTTATATATGTATTTCTTAACGATTAACTACTTACGCGCTTGATTAGTCAGCTTTTCAAATATGATAAATAGCACCTATACCTGCAACCTTGGAAGTTAAAGGAAAACAAACTGCTACGTTGCAATTCGTCAGACAGCTGTTACATATGGTGTCTCCAGTTCGCATAGGTCGGTACGAAAACTTCGATAAGGAGTTCATCAGAATTCGTAAGGCTAATAACAACTTCGGCAGAAATATATAGTCGTTTTATCGTAAGGTATATGTAGATATCTTTTTTTTTTTACCTTTTTTTTTTGATAACGTTTTTACATTCGCAGGTCCCGTCCAATCGGCAGATGACATTTGTAATATTATGTCTCTTAGAGGAGTGGAGTATAGCAAAGAACAGAGCGCCAAAAGAGAGACTAGCAATGCCCTATCAGATTTGTGGAATGCAAATGAAGTATTTCCTGCCCAAGTAACCATGCGACGAAAATTCGAAAATACTTGAGCCAGTGATTTCTCCTCTGTGTCGATACACCTATAGTCCATGCAGTCGTACAGTCGGCTGTTGCTAATTAGAATGTACAAATCGAGAATGGGCCCTTTGAGATGTTCAAAGAGGCATTGAAAGCAGATATGAAAAAAACGTGCACGTCTCTGGGCACACTTAGAATCCTTAGCCAGCTATCAGGCTCTACAATTATTTCCTATAATTTGTTAGAAGTCGAGAGTCTGAGGCTTTCATATACGTAGGGGGAACACAGTAGACAGCGACTGTGCAGTTGATCGCAGAAGCGACCTCAAGTTCTTGGGAATTATTTAATCTTGGCCGAAGCAACACGAAGTCTTCGTGATGCCTGATCGAAAGATTAAGCTGAATACAAGCTTAACCTAATCTTACTTAGGAGCACTTGAGAGTTTACCAAGCAGCTCTCTACCTCATGCATTCTCTGTCTCCTCAAATGTTGGATTTGTCATTTTCAGGCATCGTCTCAATGTAGTTACAAATCGAGTCCTCCAGTGATTCCAAAATTAAACAATGCACTGGGGGGCGATTCGGAGGATGGGGGGCGACCGATGTCCCCTTTGTCTCAACCTCAGGCTCCTATCAAACAGGAGCTAGACCATCACATGCCTGACTTCCATGACAACATCTCCCTCCCTGTAAGTAATTGTCTTTTACCTATTAATTTAATGCACGTTTTCTTATTGTTCTTCTTATTGTTTTTTCTTCTTTCTCTTCTTCCTCCTCCTGTTATCTCCACGTGGCCTCGACTAATGGCTCCACGACCGTCCTCAAGTTTCATTAGCATTCGAATTCGAACCGAGCGATTTGTACCAGCAATATCTAGTCTTCCAAAGTCTTTAACAGCTCCGGCATATATGTAATGCGTGCATTCAATGTTGTTCTTGCATTTTGTATATCATTTTTTATTTTCTTTTTTAACTTTTTTTTTCGTTTCTATATTGTATCAACGTACTATACATGTGTATGGATATGTGTTTGACGTTTGACTATATCACGTTACGTGTTAAAAGACTTGACTGAGCTTAGTGCTTCTGTGACAGAGTACTACTACACTTGTCATTCCGATATATTGACTATCTCGTTTGTTTTCGTTGCATGCTTGCCCTGAGGTTTGTTCTCGCAACTTTAATTGGATTGGCTGAAACACTGTGCTCGCCATGGTAGTTCTCCGATAGTGTGGACTGACTCGTATGTGTCCGTAGTGTGTATCTGATTGTTGCTTTTGAAACAGTCCGTACTAAGTAGAGGTAGTGTATTTTGCGTTAACGTACTTGAGACGTACTTATCGCGAGTCTAGAGATAGGCGCGAATGAGCTCAAAAGTTAGACGGCTGACTTCATTGGGTACGAGCTCGGATATCCATCTACAATATTATCTTACGGGACGACACGTGGAAAGTCACGAGGCATTTTTTTACTCAATTGACATCTAATACTTTGATTTCGGTTTACTTCGTTATTTTACTCGCGAGATGGCTCATTTTTTCGTATGCACTTCGTTTGCGCGCCGGGTCGTTGTTTCTGAGAGTTTCTTCCTTTTCTATGTCTGCCATTGAAGCGTCATCGCGAAACGACGCGTAATCGTGAAATTCGTTGTGAATTGAGTCTCCGTTGCTCAAAGTACACAAGCGGCAATTTTTGTATTGCCGGCAGGAGCGTCTAGAAGATCCTCTCTTTTTTTTTTTTTTTTTTTTTTTTTT